ATATCAACAGACATGAAATATGTCACCAGGAACAGCCCCCCCCCCCTCCTATTACAACCCCTCTCCTTCTTTTCTGAGGATGGAGCAAAGAAAACGTCTTTTCAGGATGCATTGTGCTCATCAGCTGGCAATTTATTTTCTTCTTTGCTTGACACTGCCAGCCCCTTAGTGCTTTTATTGACTCTGGCTAAACACAGTGACAATTATTTTTGTTGGTTTCAAATCACATTCTCTAATGGAGTGTGAAGTCAGCAGGTTTTTTGCAGGCTGAGTGTATCCCTTCCAAACACCCGAAGGGAAGGGGAGAGAAAGATGATGGCTTTTTTGTTTTTATCCTCTTGTACTTTGGCAGTTGTTGAACGAGTCGTTTGTTTCGGTCTGGGAGAGGTGAGGGAGAGGCTTGTGGTTGATAGATGTGGTGGAAAGTGGAGCCGGGAGCTTCTTATCTTAGGTTTCCTACTACTGTAAAACTGGTTTAACACAAGCAGCCACCAAAAGTTGGTGCCATAGTATCGTCTACCGTGAACAAATGCCTTGGGTAGAGTGTAAGTGTCTTGGCTGGAGCGGTGAAGTGGTGGAAGCAGTGTGAATGGTGTTAGTTGTCTGGCTTTTGCATGCTGGGCACTTTCTTACTGGATAATAGTCGGAAGTGATAAACCTCTTGAATAGGGCTAGTCCTTGTCTTTCTTTCCCTCAGATATCGGGCTATACCCTACCCTTCCTCTCCTGGGCAACCAGGACAAAAGGCCTGGCAATTCCATGAGGTGAGCTGTGCAATGCTCCCCTCACTGGAGGATGAGTTTGGAGCATGGCCTTCAAGCCACGCAGCTCAGGAGATCATGGGGAAAGATCATTGCTCCAGGCCTGAGGGAGCCATGCTCCCCTTGGCTCTCCCCTGTCCCTGTGCAACCCTCTCCTCCCTGGGCATGGAAGTATAGGCACAAAATGGGAGCTTACACTACGGGGAAACAGCACAAGTTCAACTCTGATATCCTGGGAATACCATAGAATGCAGCTGCTCCCCACGAAAGGTAGTTAAGCAGGCTTTGACACCTGCACTCTGGGACACCCAAGCCACACCCGGGATCCAAACTTGGATTAACAAAGAGTTAATTGGATTTGTATTATCTCCATGTATCTTGTGCTACTGAAGTCCAGGGATAGCAGAACTCAGATGTTCTTCATTTTATAAAATTTCTCAGGACTGGTCTACGCTAGAAAATTTGATCCACCCAGCTACGTCACTCAGGGGCGTGAAATATCCATACTCCTGAGTGACGTAGTTAAGCCGACCTAAGTCCCCGGTGTAAACAGTGCTAGGTCGACAGAAGAATTCTCCCGTTGACCTAAATACCACTTCTCAGGGAGGTGGATTACCTACACTGACAGGAGAACCCCTCCCAGCAGCGTAGGTAGTGTCTACACTGAAGCACTACGCAGCTGTGCCGGTGTCGCTGTACCATTTTAAGTGTAGACAAGCTCAGATACTGTGGAAAGTCCTAAAAAGTAATGGCTTTAGTGACATGATTTTTTAAATTATTTTTAGATTTTTTTTTTAAGAGACATGAGCAGAGATGTGCAAACCATGTCCAATGGGAAAATCTTGCAGAGTCATTTACACCTATGCAAAGGGAATTTTAAAAATCTCCCGGTCACAGTCCTCTACTCACCTACCCTGTAAAAGAGATTTTGCCCACGTTCTTTCTGCTCAAGTGATACAAAGCACTTCAACAACTCCATTACGCTGCTGAATTTCAAACACATCACGTGCAATTAGAGCTGGGGCTGCGGGGGAGGGGCTAATTTTCCCCTGCCAAAAATTTCAACACCTGAAAATTATCTGTGTTTTTGTTGAAATTTCTTTTTCAAAATGTGTTGGGTTTTCAATGAGCTAAATGCCCCCAGAATGAATATTTGCATTAGGAAACCTCCAAAATTCTGGATGAAAACAAACTTTTTAGTGAAATTTTCTGTTAAACCCCATTTTCTGGGTCGGCAGGCAGGGGGACGGGGACGGACAGCAGACATTTTGACAGAAATTATTCAACCAACTTTACATTTAAGTGGGCTTGATATTTCCCATGCCCATGCCTGGGTTTCACTCCATATTGTCCTGCACTATTACTTTTACATATACATGAATTTTCTGAAGTAAATTTAAAATATGGGTTTGCGTGGTGAAAATTTCTTCCAGCTGACATTATCTGGCTAAGGTATGTACCTGGCTCCCATCCCAGTATCTGAGCACCTCACAACCTTCAATGTATTTATCCTCAGAACACCCCTTTGCATAGGTGTAAAGAAGTGCTATTATCTCCATTTTACAGATGGAAACTGAGGCACGGAGAGACTAAGGCCCAGACCCTCAAAGGTATTTATGTGCTTAGAGTCTATTGAAACCAATGGGACTTAGAGGCCTAAATACCTTTCAGGATCTGGGCCTTAAAGTGACTTGTCCAGGGTGACACAGGAAGTCTGTGGCAGAGCAGGGAGAGCCCTGAGGACAGGTCTCCCACGACCCAGGCTGCTGCCCTAATATCCGGTCTGCTGAAGATTTCTGCTGATGGTTTGAAAACAAGACTGATTCTGTTATCAAGAGTGTTAGGTAGGGCTGGAAATGCTGTGCCGTGATATGGGGGTTAGTGGAACTTAACAAATGATTGTCAGAATAAACAAATATATTGACCCATCAGCTCTTTCCCTATACAAAAGCATGGAGGGGTACTGGCTAGGGGTTGAGTGGTGGGAGAGGGGGGCAGAAAAAGAAGCAGAGGTCATGATCCCAGCTCTTCTCCCTGTGGAGTGTGCAGACTACAGAAGAAATCCTTCCCCTCCTTGCCACCCTGCAGCTGGCACCCATGGGCTCACTGCCCCCAGCTGCAGAGCAGGACGGCACAGGGGCATCACAGAGCACTCTGAAGGAGTCCAGGTAACTCCCAGAAGATTTTTTCTGTGGATTTGCCGCAGTGCTGCTGGGGAGCATGCCGCCCAGTGCCGCTAGTCCCCTGGCTTTGCCCACCTCATGCCAGAAGGATGAAGGAAGGTGGCACTGAGCAGAGCATCCCACTAGTCCACTCTCACCCTCTGCAGGGCCCCACCATGGTTTACTCCACTCAGCAAGCAAGCAAGGGAGCATACGAGCCACTGCCACTGCTCTCACGGGTAAGCACGGCATCTGACCTAAACAGTACGGCAAGTGGTCCCCTTGACAGACAGCTGAAATGCAGCTCACTCGAGATATGTTCTATCTGAGCCAGCGATTAACCCTTGTGAGAGGCTGATCCAAAATGCTTTCCCCTGGCTATTAGGCACATGGTGGCACCTATTCTATTCCGATTGAAAAGGCTTCTTGGGAAGTGAATGTATCCCCACCAGGGAAAGCTTAGTGTGATGATGAGCTGCTCTTCCATCTCCATGGGGGGATATCCCTTCTAACCCTGAGCATTGGGAGATGCACCAGCTGTTTGGGGACTTGGGGCTAATCTAGCTGCTAAGAAGTCAGCTAATGTGTTCTCCCAAGGCCATTTCTGCACGCTGGCCTCCTCAAGCTGTATTCGTCCCCATAAGTAGCTCCTAATTTTGAATGTCTGCCCCTTTCTCCACCCAGGAGAGATTCCCACCGAGGGGTATGTGTTACAGGCAGGCCGATTTCAAAGGGGTTTATGATAGAAATTCCTGAATACACTGATTCTTCCCTAGCGGAGTTTCTAAAGCCTTTTGAATTGAGCATTAAAGCAGTTTAACGGGGACTATTATGTCAAATGTAGGTGTTAATTAGAGAGAAGAGTCAGTAAATTTACTAGAGCATTCTAATATAATGCTCTAATAAATTTGTTAGTCTCTAAGGTGCCACAAGTACTCCTGTTCTTTTTGCGGATACAGACTAACACGGCTGCTACTCTGAAACCAGTAAATTTACTGCCTCTAAAGTTCCCCTCACACCATTTTCAATACTCTGCTCTCGCCTTCCAGGGCCTTCAGACCTCTACCCCTTCCTACTCACCCAGTCTTCTCTTTGATCACACTGGCCACCCCACACCTCACCTGTTGATTCACCAGTGAAGTCAATCTTCACCACTTGCTTGTCTGTTTCTTTCACAACTGATACTGCGCCTCCTCCCTCCCTAGCCTTCAGGCACAGGACCCCTTAACCCAGCCATGCACTACATCCCTGCCTCACTTCTACAATACTGCTGCAACAGGCCACCACAGGACAACTAATGCAGCCCCCTCCTTGGCCTGCGCTCCTGCCCTATAGAACCACGCTGCTGTGCTGCATTTGACGGCCTGTGCAACTCTACCACAGCAGGGAGGGTTCTCCCAAAGTGAAGTGCTCCAGGCCACACACAATTCAATGGCAGGGTCTGGATTAGAACTCAAGAGCTCCTGGTCCCCAATCCTGCATTGAAATCACTGGGCAACCGTGGCTCTCTCTGGAGAAATTGTAGCTTTGCACTCCTTTTTCATGGTTACACTACAACAGAATGGAAACTGAGGGACTAAGAAATTGTGACTTGTCTAAGGTCAGGCAAGAAATCTGTAGCCAAGCCTTCCATAGCCAAGTGCATAGCCTTAACCACAACACCATTCTTCCACCAGCCTTTCTTTTTAACGTTAGTCACCCAAGTGTGAAGAATTTGGCCTTAACTTTTCTGTGACTCAGCTTCCCCACCTGTAAAATGGGGATAATAAAACTTACTCCTTGTGTTAAGTAATTTATGACCCTTCAACAGCAGGTAGCATACAAGTGCAAATTACCAAATAAGCATTTTGGATACTTATTCAATCCAAACCTTATAAAATTCATCTAGAGCTACTGTAAATATCTCCAACAAAGTGATGTCTTGGGATATATAATTTTGAACTAAGAACATCCCATTAATTATTAGATCCAATTTTACTTGAAATCCTAATTTCCAGATGGACATTTAGGGAAAGAAAACACATACACACAAAAACAGAAAGATGCCAGGGACTGATTTTCATTTGAACATCTTATATTTATTTTGCTTCTTTATAATTATGCAAATCTCAGTGCATCTTTTCTTAGTTAACTGGGTAATGACTAGCTTGGTAGCCAACGGAGTGCTGCCTTTTGAGAAAAGATAGTGTTTGAAATCAGGGGTTATGCGTAGAGCCCGCTCAAACAGGTCTCTGTGCCAAAGGCTTTGTTTTGATACTAGAAACATTTCCACTACAGCAGACTCTGATGATAGTCATGTGTGGGATTAGGAACTGACTCCATTCAAATAACAGACAGCTGTTTGGAGTGAAAACTCGTCTCTGTCAGTTTGCACTCAAAGAAGGCAGAAGCAAAAAAAAAAACAAAAAAACCCTTAGGCCTGGGAATCATTGTGGCTTAATCCCTCCTTTGGCAGGAGATAAAACTAGGGCTTTCCAAGGCTCTATAATTTCTTGCATTGACCTGGAAAGAGATTTCTCTATTCATTGGTCTGTAAACCTACTTTTTTATATTTACTACATGATGTACAAGGACTGAATCTCCAACAGAGAAAACATGCCATGAGGGGCCAGGAGCCTGGGAAGAAATTTAGTCTCAGTTTAAATAACTTAGTAAAACAGAGATACACAGTAGCTATGAAAGAGGAGGGCAGAGGATGTTAAAGCCATTCATGGATTGTTCTTGTAACTTACAACAGAAGGTTTTTTCATTCTCTGCTTCTATAGACTGAAGTAGGAACGAGGGCCAAGGTTTTCAGAAGTGATGAGTGATTTAGGTTTCTTCCATTTCGAGGTATCCAACTTGAGACACCTTAAACGGTTCTGGTTTCAAAGGGTAGGTGCCCAGCATGTTCTGAAAAATCAGGTTCCATTAAGTTGGGTCCCTAATAACTAAGGCATCCAAAAATTGCTAGTCTCTTCTGAAAGGCTTGATCACCGATGTCCCATCTCCGGCAGAAACCCACAGGGAAAACATAAAACTGGACCAGAACTGTTAGCCATACATGAGCATGTGCAACTGCAAACAGAATGAAAGCCCAAGATAGCATGAACTGCTCGCAGAGAGAATATGTGTTTTCAGCCAGATTCACAGACAGTGCCCTTGATACTGGAAGTTTAATTTCTGGATAGTTCACTGAAAAAAACATGCTGTGCTAATGGCCCCAGTGCAGTGAATGGCAAAACTCCCTTTCATTTCAAGGTGACCCGGCTTTAGCTTTTTGCACACCTAGAGTCTCTCCTTTTTCTCCTGTCTTGTGGCCTCTTTAAGGCTCATCTTCTAAGAGACCCGAGAATAATATTTAATCAGGTAGAAAAGAAGGAACTAAAGGGTCTACCCTGAGGCCACTGACATATTAACCTATAGGTCAAGGCCAGGAGAAACATCCCCTGTAAACAAGTCACAACATCCAGCAGTCAAAAGAGATCAACAGAGTGGAATAAGAAAAAAAAAAAAAGGAATACAGAGTCGATTTTACATAACATTTTCCCTATTTTGTTTTGATTGGAAGCTGTCGTGTGTTTCCCTGTGGCCCAATGAATAGCCCTCTCATCACTCTCATCATACCCAACACCATTCATGTGTAGAGGTGAAGCTAGGCCTGTTTGCTGTATTTGGAGGCAGTATACTCAGCAGCTTACAGGAAGGAAGGTCTTTTTTCTGAAAAAAGAAAAAAAAATGAGAGTCCGGAGACATGGATTTGTACTCCAAGCTCTATGCCCCTTTCTGTGAGGTCCTAGACAAGTCACTCACTGTGCCTTAATTTCCTCATCTGTAAAGTGGGGATAATAGTGTTCGTTTACCTCTCAGCAATGTTGTTCCAGATTTAGAAGTTGCCCCAGCTGGTGCAAAAGAAGGTATCAGCAAAACTGTAATATATGAAGATCCCAAACAGAACTGGAAAAAAAAGGAGATCTGTTATTTCGGTACAGGTTCACCTAGACAACTCATCAGACTCCATCTCAAACAACTTCCTCACTCCTACCCCACCATGTCCCCACCTCACTGGACCATGCTCAGTACAGCCTTACGGCTTCTAACAATAAATAGCTATTCTCACGTTGGCCACCAGGTGGCAACAGGCATAACAAAAATACCTACAACATTACAGAAACCCTCTGAGAACAAAGCCACCGCTTTTGCATAGTTCTTACTTTGATCCCTGACCCTGCAGCTGAAGTCAGTGGGGCTCCATGAGCACACGGGTTTCTGTCCCTGCACACTGAATTTCAAAATCAGGGCCTTAAATGGTGAACTCTTTGAGGCAGTGTGGCAGGGGTCACTCAAGCAGCCCATGCACCCCCTCCTGGTGAGACATGGTGCACCCTCTTCAACTCTGACACCTCCTATTGACAGCCTCTTCAAACCTGCAGTGCCTATCCCTTCTCCGGACTCAGCCCTCCAGCCAGGTCACTTATAACCCCACTGTGACGTTGTGCAGTCTATATGGTTTTATAAAAACATGATAATAAGTGAATATAATGTAACTGGAATAGTTTTAGAAAAATATGGTAAAAAGTGAATATAACGTAACTGGGATATGTTTCGTGCAAAAGGTCTCTTGTAAGGTATCATTACAAAGCTTATAATCTACTGAGTGTGATCATCCGATTTGTATAAATGTACCACTCTTGTATCTAAAACTAGAAATATAAAATATAACTCTAAGGGCCTATTGTAATTATGTCAAGTGTGGGCCATTAATGATGGTTTGGAATCTTGATGATGCCCATTGTCTGCAGATGGCTGGGTTTACCTATGAGTCTTCCTGTATATGTGTGTGTGCTGGCAAGTGAGTAATGAAGTCTTGCAGTGACATGTGATCATGTCACCTGAACTGGAATCCATCTTTAACCTGGTGCTTTTCCAGTGAGCGGGGGTGGAAACCCAGAGGGACAAAGGGTTCCCGCCTTATGCAAAAGATATATAAAGGGGTGGAAGAGAACAAAGGGGGGAGAGAAGCCATCATGAAGAATCCCCTAGCTATCACCTGAGCTGGAACAAAAGCTGTACCAGAGGAAAGAATTGTGCCCAGGCCTGGAAGGTGTCCAGTCTGAGAAAAAACTTACTGAAGCATCTCTGAGGGTGAGATTATCTGTATTCAGTTTGATTAGGCATAGATTTGCGCATTTTATTTTATTTTGCTTGGTGACTTACTTTGTTCTGTCTGTAACTACTTGGAACCACTTAAATCCTACTGTCTGTATTTAATAAAATCACTTTTTATTTAGTAATTTACTCAGAGTATGTATTAATACCTGGGGAAGCAAACAACTGTGCATATCTGTCTATCAGTGTTATAGAGGGCGAACAATTTATGAGTTTGCCCTGCATAAGCATTATGCAGGGTAAAACAAATTTATCTGGGTTTAGACCCCATTGGGAGTTGGGCATCTGAGTGCTAAAGACAAGCACACTACTGTGAGCTGTTTTCAGGTAAACTTGCAGCTTTGGGGCAAGTGATTCAGACCCTGGGTCTGTGTCGGGACAGACGGGAGTGTCTGGCTCAGCAAGACAGGGTGCTGGAGTCCTGAGCTGGCAGGGAAAACAGGAGCAGAGGTAGTCTTTGCACATCAGGTGGCAGCTCCCAAGGGGGTTTCTGTGATCCAACCCGTCACACCCACCTCTTCCAGGGTGGGCAAAAGTCCAACGAACAAAAAGTCTAATGACCTTATACGAGGTCTTCTGCTTCAGTCTGGGCTCTATAGTCCTTGCTTCCTGGCTTCAGGGGGTTTTTAAATCCCTTTTCCTGGGGGTAGATAGGGGAACCCAGGCCCTCCTTCTACACTGAGTTCCAGCCCAGGGATCCTGCATTAAATAGCTCAAGTCTGCTCCCTCAGACTCACTGTGACTTCCCTGGGCTGCTTCCTACTTTCAACTGCCTCCAGGTCCCTTCCAGAGCTTTCTCTTTGTGAATGTTCACACACGGCAACATTTAGCACAGAAGCACTTACCTCTAACAAGCAGCTCTTACGGGGACTCTCAGAACTTTGGGAACTAGTTTCAGATTACTTTACAGCCATTAACGCATTAAGACTTGCCCCTCCAAGAAACAGAGGATCATTAGACCCATTTTACAGACGGGGCGTGGGAACAACAGAGAGGTTAAAGCCCCTATTTTTTCTAAAAGAGTTCAGAAATGTGTGTCTTGAGTTTTGGACGCCAAAGTGTCTCAAGCTGGGCACTAAGTGTATGTCTACACTGCAATTAAAAACGTGCAGCTGGCCCATGCCAGCTGGCTCAGGCTCACAGGGCTTGGGCTGCAGGACTGTTTAGTTGCAGCGTAGATGTCCAGGCTTTGACTGCAGCCTGGGCTCTAGGACCCTGTGTGGTGGGAGGGTCCCAGAGCTCGGGCTGCAGCCGAATCCGATCCGAGCCGGATCATCCAGACCCCTGCGAGCTCAAGTCAGCTGGCACGAGCCAACCACGGGTGTCTAATTGCAGTGTAAACATACCCTCTAGATGCAGGCACCCAAAATGACTGGACGCTGAAAGTTTGGGTTTAAATGACTCCTACAACGTTCCTGTGTAGAGCAGGGTGAAATTTTGCAACTGAATTTTGTTTCTGTCCACAAAATAGGTGTTCACTGGAAATAAAATAATGGTGGGAAAATGTCATTTTCAACCTTTCTTTTTCAAAATTTTCAAAGGGAAATTTCAAAGAAGAAAAAGTCATTTTGCTTTTATCTGAAATTTTAGATTAGTTTTTATTAGATTTTAGATTAGTTTTGGTTCTGAAAACTGATTATTTAATTTTGGTGTTTTGTTCCCCATCTTCCCCCTCCCGCCCCCACTTCTTTGCCACTGAATGCAACTGAATAAATAAGGGGTTTTTTTCTTCCCGCTTTTTCCTTTTCCTTCTCTCCCCATCCCTCTGTAACTTTTCAGAGTTAACGTTGAAAAAGTTATAGAGAGGCAAAAAGAAAAATGAAACTGTAACTGTAACTTTTCCAAAGTTGAGGAAGATTTGAAAAGTTAGAGTGGAAAAAGAAAAAGGAAAAAAATAGAAAACAAAACAAAATCTGGACATCGTTCATTTTGTTGAACTAAGCGGCAAATAGAAAAAGCGAGAGGTGGGAGGGAATTTGGGGGAAAGCAAAAATACAAAACGTTGATTTAAAGAAAATAGTGAAAATTCTTGAATAAATAAAAATTGTTCCAATTTGAACTCTGCAACATAGAAATCAACTTGAGATTTTGAATCTCCCCATTTTCCCCCATCAGCTCTATTTCTATGTGACTTTAGCCAATCTCCTGTTTCCCATGATTGTTCTTTAGCCATAGTGTCATCCTTTTCAACAGAGCAGCTACTGCTTAGGCATGGTAGAACTGAATAAAGGACGCTGGCATAGCTCTAACAGTCTAACTCTGCTTTTCATTTCTCCTGTCTGCTTTGCAGACCTTAACATTATTTGACTTTTTTTAAAAGCTTAATTTAGTTTTGTTTGTATTAGATGATCTGTATCTGCAAGATATTACCCCATCAATATTTCATTTTGAGGGGAATCTAAACCAATATGATGGAAAGCCAAGCTCCCTCCATACACAATGGCTTGTTAGATGCACAAAGTATACATTGAAATAAGGGGACTGCTTTGTTCAAAGAACTGTTTATTTATAGGGTACTTTTCTAATCTTTATATTTAGGCGGATCAAAATATTTGCTGTAGACTCTCAAAAACCACAAGACACAACAGAAAGTACCCTCCTGTAAGTTCACAAATCCTGGAACACAATGAGAAGGCTATATTTGTATATTTCATAATCCCCCCATGCCAGGAGTCCGGATTTTCCCAGTGCTAACAGGGGAGATATTATAGAAGTGTCTACGAAGACCTGAGCTAACATACATCAAGTGCATGTGCTCTGAATATGGAAGGCATATGGTTTTATCCCTTCATTTACCTACAGGAGGTTGCTACTGGAACTGTTCTGGTTTTTGTAGGGATACAGTTCATCCTCTACTAGATGGTCCTGTATAGGTCTAAAAATGGAATCACAGGGCAACAAGGGTTTGGATATGATCAAGCTATCTCTAGGTACGCAGACAGCCCTCCCTTGCCCTATGTGAGACCTATAGATTCCAGGTTGTACAATGTCACTGAACTATAAATGATGGGCTTGGTTTGCTGGGTTTGTGACTCCCAAATTACCCTGAGTTCACACACAAGCAAACACTCCAAATGAAAAAGGAGCAAACTCTGGGGTAACTAAGGCCTGGTCTACACTAACCCCCCAATTCGAACTAAGGTACGCAACTTCAGCTACGTGAATAACCTTAGTTATTCGAATACCTTAGTTAGAATTTACCGCGGTCCAGACGCGGCAGGCAGGCTCCCCCATCGACTCCGCGTACTCCTCGGGCCGAGCAGGATTAGCGGAGTCGACGGGGAGCACTTCTGGGTTCGATTTATCGCGTCCAGACAAGACGCGATAAATCGAACCCAGAAGTTCGATTGCCTGCCGCCGAACCAGCGCGTAAGTATAGACAAGCCCTAACGGCAGCACTTCTCCATTCCCTTCTGCTCCTCGCTCTTCCACCTCCCCCACCAGGTCCGGGTCCTTACCTTTGGATGTGCAGATGGACGACCTGCTTCTCATCCCCTCCCATCTCACACGCTCCTCTCTCCTGCATTCCAGTCTCCGGGAAGGGCCTGCTCTTAGCATAGCCTCCTGATATTGTTTAGGCCAGGGATTGCTTTGTCCTACTAATCCACCTTTCTTCAGCAGCAGGATGCTTCTCTGGATTTAATTAGTCCCTAAACTCATTCTGGGGCCAAGGTTCTCTAGAAATCCTGGAGAGAGCAGGGAAATTCCCGGAGCAGTGAGATCTTCAGCTCCTGTAAATCAGTGCAGCTCCTTTGATTGCAGTGGAGCTATGCTGATTTATACCAGCTGGGAATCTGGCCCTTTCGTGTAATTTATTGTGACTAGGTATCCATTTTGTACTTTATGTACTTGTGATCATTTGGGTGAGGACGGTAGCACTAGTCTGAGAGGGAAAAAATAGTAGGAGATAAGGTTGAGCTTAAAACTGGTTGAATTGTAAACCCTTCGCTTGCTGATGAATACAACCATTAGGGAGCAGCAGGTACCGTAAACATAGGCATCGTCCAGAACCCGCAGTCTAATGCTGTGCACATCTATACTTATCTGTAAACTAGCTCCATTGATCTGACACCACTGCAGCTGCTTGTCCACCCCAAGTCCCCAACCCATCTCCTAGCTGTCAAACCCTCCAATATATCCCTTGACAAGTGAGCCCCATTTACTCCCTGTTGTTCTCAGTCTTCAGATTCCATCTCCCTGGAAATGAGTTAGCCTTGTAGCGGGTACCAAAATGTTACATTTACTGGCATCTGAGAAAAGCTTTTTCTCCAACACTCGAAATGTATTTAAGTTTCTCTTTGTGTTTTACCTGATGCACGAAGATATTTATAAAACAAAAACGCACTTTAAACTCATTGTACGTGTAGGTCGTGGAAGCTCCTTCACTGGAGGTTTTCAAAAAGAGGCTGGATAGCCATCTGTCTTGGATGGTTCAGGCACAACAAATCCTGCATCTTGACCAGGGTTAGACTGCATGACCCGTGCGGATCCCTTCTAGCCCTGTGGTTCTATGAAACACCTAATTCTTATATGGTGCTTTTCATCAGGAGATCTAAAAGCACTTAAAAAGGAGGCAAGTATCATTATCCTCATTTTCACAGGTAGGGAAACTGAGGCACAGAGTGCTCAGGGCAAACCTTGCAAACACCAGCTATTGTGTGTAATACTACGGGGCACACTCCCACTTTAAACAATAGCACTGGCTAAACTACAGAGCATTGTGCTAGTTAGTAAAAGTATGGACTATGTCTGGAACACAAAAAGAAGAGAACAATTTCTGTAGTTATTTTATGAGTTTCTAATAAAAAAATCTCAGTTTTAATCTAAGGGGTTGTTATTGGGTTTTTTAAAATATTATTTTAACCTATTAATAAAATTAACTACCTTTTTTTTCCAGTTTTGATTGTCTTTCCCTTCCATTTAACACCCATACTCAGAATCAGGAGGGAAGAGACAAAGAAATGTAAACTGATAAATTAATGTAGGCAGTAAAAGTAAAGAGTTTTCTTTGTTCATATCAACACTCTGATCTGATTTTATAAACAAATCACTGAAAAATCTAGGTCAAGTTACCCAGGAAATTAATATGCCCTTTAGCAAAAATTTCTCACCCTGAATATGTATCTATATCAGCAGTGAAGTATATTTTTCATGAGTAATTAAGACATTATGGGTTTCTGGTTATTCGCAGACGTCTTATGGGAAAACGAATTATAAAGTCACAAGAATAATAGCATTCAAAGAACCTTTCCTCTTACTGCAATATTGATTTTCAGAACACAAACAGAGGCTCAGAAAAGCTTAATCTTGGTACTATACCTATTTTAAATGCCAATTGTTGAGTAAATAGACCTCTGCAGGGATATGTTTGTCTGAAAAGTCCTTTGGGATTAGAGAATATTAGCCCAGTATTCAGCCTGAGACCTACTTTGTGAAGCTTCTTTGTTACCCTGTCAGCTATCTAAAGCCCTATATGATAGGTCTCAGCCCTGGTGATATTTATTCAAGTAAATCTAAGTATAAGAGTTAAGATGCAGCTGTTCTTACATTGTGGACATCTTTGGGTCTCAGTGAGTTTCAGCTTGACACTGAAGTGCAGAACATCTCAGAAGACTAATAAAGTATTCACCACTCAGGCCTTCAATATGTTTCTTAGCCATTTTCCATGGTCAATACTTTTTTTTTCCTAATTAATTCTGGCCGTGTCTAATTTTGCTCAGGCTCATGAACTAGAGAGTTGTTTACTTAGCCCTCGTTTGCACATAAGACACAAATTCTTAATGCGGCTAAGCCGGGCTCTCTGGTTTGCAATGCCAAATCCTGACCTTCCTCTGAAGTGCAGAGTGTTTATATTTTTGGATCACGAAGCCAAAGAAAATAAAGTTGTTTTCCACCAAACAGAAAAATCTCTCTAGTTCTTTGCCTTTTGAATTGATCTTTGGAGTATCTTGATACCTGGTCATGAGTATAGAGGACAGCCTCAGGTCTGAGTCTACTCTCCACTGTCCTGATGTAAAATGGAAAGAAAAATCAAGCCTCTATAAATGTTGCCAGTGCCCAAGCCAAAGCCCGTTGAAGTAAATGGGAGTCTTTCCACTGGCTTTGATGGACGACGATGGATCAGGTCCCTAAACGCAAGGGTGATTTATTTTTGGATGCTGTTTAGAAGTGCTTGCGGTAGGTAATGTAGTAAAAGCAAAGTATCTAATTAAAACTGTCAATAGTCCAGACTGGAGGACAATGAATTGTTTACATGCACCTATTGTTATTGTACTATAATTACATTAGATAAATGAAATGGTAAAAATGCAAAGTAATTTCCAAAGGAAAGATTTTTTTGTGGGGGGAGGGATAGCTCAGTGGTTTGAGCATTGGCCTGCTAAACCCAGGGTTGTGAGTTCAATCCTTGAGGGGGCCACTTGGGGATCTAGGGCAAAATCAGTACTTGGTCCTGCTAGTGAAGGCAGGGGGCTGGACTCGATGACCTTTCAAGGTCCCTTCCAGTTCTAGGAGATGGGAGATCTCCATTTATTATTATTATAGTGTACTGACTGAAAAGCAAAGTGATGCACCAGCCACAGGCTGCAAAAAAAACACCAGGAGAGGAAAGGCAATCCAGGTTCCCAATACTAGCTAAATTGGTCCACAAATGCTGTTCATCTCCTTGCACTCTCTCTCCTGCAATCTGAAGGTAAATAGGAGTCACAAAATACCAGGAGCTTTTCAATTTTCCATAGAGTCCCTCAAACGCAGTAGCTTTTAAGAGGCCATGCAGGGTGTCAAAGTAAATACCATAGTCATAGTGAAGGTGCATGCCTAATGGACATAGATACCTGGAGGACAACTTTCCACCTCAGAATTAAGCTATGTAACCATATTATTTAATTGCTGGGCCCACTAGGTTTAGTGTAGATCTGCTGAACTCAGATTCTAACAAACTGGCTGTTGTGATCTGGTTTCAATTTTGTGTGTGAGTGGAATCCACTTTAGTCCAATGCTTTTGAACTGTGAGTTGGGGAGTCCCTCCTGGAGAATATCATTCTGTTTCAAGATCACCTCCCTTTCCAAGAGTGGGGAGACGAACGGGATGTTGGTAGGTTCAGTGTACGAATTTCTGAGATGTAATGTTTAAACATCAAATAGTTGGGAGATGTGATAGAGAAACACACAAAAGTAAAGGTGCTTATGCAGGAGTTACTGGGTGGCATATTCTGTGGCCTCTGTTACCCATGAGGTCAGAATAAATAATCTAATGGTCCCTTCTGGCCTTCTACTATAATATCTATGAATAATCTAAACTATCTGATCCAGGTAGGTCTTCAGAACAGAACTGGAAAGCGCATGTAAAAAGTCTTTCTCATGATGTTTTGGCACTTCCATCTGAGACTGTGCATTGTAGAGGGGCGTTCCAGCATGTAAAAGAAGAGGGGATAATTCAAACTCTTTTGAATCTCAATAAAACTGCTGTCTCAGCGAGGTTAAAAATTCAGGGTGAAATCTTGGCTCCCCCCGCCAGTGAAATTAATGGCAAAACTCCCATTGACTTCAAAGAGGTCAGGATTTCACCCAGGTTTCCATTTGATCTGAACTGGTTTGCCTCGCACTATTAAGGAAGCCTCATTAGATAGCAGATGAAGTACTGATGGAGTGCCCTCAGCACCCAGCCAGATTGTCACTTTCCATACTCGGCTGTGCAGGGAGCAAAAGGAGTCCCTTACTCTCCTGCCTGGTTTGTGACTCTGGCCAGAGGAAAAAAGCAGAAGCTAGTCACCTGGTGCTCCCTGCAGTGCACAAGTAGGCAGTGAGAGGGCGAAGAGGGGCAGGAAGTGGCTCAGATATAAGGGTAATGAGAGCAATATAAGTACCTACATAGATAATGGAAAGAGTCTTGGATCCCCCCACCCCCACCCCTCACTGGCCAGAGTAGTCAGTCAGGTGCACAGGAAGGAGTGAGCTGCTCCACAAAACAGGATGAAGTAACTTATTCCCTCCCCAGAGCAAGAGGTCTTCACTTGGGACAGTGGCTCTCATCCTCTCCCGACTATTGTACCCCTTTCAGGAGTCTGATTTGTCTTAAGTCCCCCACGTTTCAGCTCACTTAAAAACTACTTGCTTACAAAATCAGACATAAAAATACAAAAAAGTGTCACAGCCCCACTGTTACTGAAAAACGGCTGACTTTTGCATTTTTACCACATAATTATAAAATAAATCAGCTGAAATAAAAATATGGTCCTTACATTTCAATGCATAGTGTACAGAGCAGTATAAACATGCCATTGTATGAAATTTTAGTTTGTACCAACTTCGCTAGTGCTTTTTTAAGTAGTCCACAGTAAAATTAGGCAAACGTCTAGATGAGGTGATGTACCCCCGGAAGACCTCTATGTACCCCCGGTGTACTGATGCCCCTAGTTGAGAACCACTGACTTGGGGCACTGTAGCTACACAATCTAACCCTAAGTGATTTGCCCAATGTCATAAAGGAAGTCTGTGGCAGAACTAGGAAGTGAAAGCGGATCTCAAGCCCTAGGCCAATGCCTTAACCACCCTTCCTTTCTACGGAACATGCTCAGGAGCAAATATTTTCAAGTGCAGAACACTTACATACAAACCATCTGCTGACAAAGCGTTATTCTTGAAGCACGCCGTTGTTCCTGACACAGACATGATAGAAAGTGAATCAGCAGCTCCACACCCCATTGCAGTAAGAGTCCGTAACA